CACTTACTACATGCAGTGTCTGACTTACCGTGGGGACTCACTGATGTGAGTTTGTCTCTTACCATCATTCTCCACAACACAGCAGAAATGGCCTCCAACAAATGCAGCTGACCTGTTATTTGCTGACTCAAGAGCTTGTAATGACTTCTAACTGTCTAAAGGGTAAAAACATGAATTATGCAGTCGTAGGGCATACAAGATTCTTTACAGCCTGACCTTAGGATTTTTATTATTGTTAAATATGTTTACTAAACACCTACTACATACCAGGCACTGTGTGATCCTTAAGAATTTATCGGTAGACAAAACAAAGATTTTGCCCTTTGGTGGGTAGGGGATGTACATTGAAGAAGTAATTTTCACAGTTTGATAGAAGGCAATATGTGCTGTGATAAGAAGGAAAAGTTGGGGGGAACCTGGGTGGCTCAGTCAGTTGAACATCTGATTGGGCTCAGGTAGTGATCTCACTATTTGTGAGTTCGAGCCCCACATGGGACTCTCTGCTGTCAGCATGGAGCCTGCTTTGGATCCTCTGTTCACCTCTCTATCTGCCTTTCCCTGCTCTCTGTCTCTCTCAAAAATAAATAAACATTCACAAAAATAAGAAGGAAAAGTGGATAGGATGCCAGTGAAGGGAATGTCAAGGGGTTACTGGGAGTTTATAACTTTAAATGGGACAGTCAGCATAGGCCTAATTGAGGGGACTTTTGAGCAAAACTGGAAACAAGTGAAGGACTTCACTGATTTCTCAGGGGTGACTTTCAGCAGAGGGCATAGCCTGTGTGGAAGCTCTGATTCAGGAGCGTGCCTGGTGTGTTTGGGGAACACTATGTAGGTCAGTGTGGCTGGAGCAGAGTGAAGGTGTAGGTCAAGTATAGGAAATAAGACCAGAGAGACACAGTGGAAGTTCAGGTCATAAAGCCAGTCATTGTGATGACTTAGACTTGTTTTTTCTAAGTTTGAGAGTGGATTTGAACAGAAATATGTTCAAATCAGACAGCACAAAACCAGAAGTGGTTAGGAGTGCTCCCAGCTTAGACTATTACTTTAAGTAGCATGGCGAGCCATTTCAGAACATTGAGATCATAAATGCTGTATTCTGGCCTAAGATTTAAATACATTCCTCTAAGCTGCTCTGCTGAGAAGAGACGATAGGAGAATGAGGTCAGCTGGGGAGCCCTGCAGTAACCTAGGTGGCTTGGGCCACAGTGGTAGGAAGGGAGGTATGCCCAGAGCCTGCTCATTCTTCAGCATTTCAGCTTGCTCGTGTACCTGAGTAGGGCAGACTTCTGGTGGGTGGGATACAGCCCTCCAGCAAAGAATGCACATTGCAGTACATGGAATGTAGCCTAAGAGGTAAGGCCTGAGGAATATGCACAAGGCATCAAATCAGCCTCAGCTACAATGAGTCAGAATATCAAGGAAAGGAAGCGTGTTCTGGGCAAACGGCATAGTGGATGGACAGGGCAGTCTGGAGGGACTGCTGGGCAACACTGAGGGCTCCAGTAAGCTCCCAGGCATGAAGTAAGGGCTGATGATGTTGTTATAGGCTGTGCCCCCGTCAGGTTCAGCTGTATGGGTGTGGTATGGAGTGGACGAAGAATGTTGGAGTATGCAAAGTAGAGGGAATTATGACAAGGGACTGGGGAACTTCGCCTGAGTGAGGTGAGGAGAGGTTGTAGCAGGAAGATGAGGGGAATGGAAGGTGATAGGGCCAGTGGGTAGGAAAGCCCCCAGAAGTTACAGCATTGGTAGAGTTAAGGCAGCAGAAGGAGTGAACTGGGGAGACAGTGAGTGTTGGTCAGGGTGGGTTGCATGAAATTGAGGTTAGGGAAGAGGAAAGTTTACTGATGAAGTTTTAGGTTATGGCCATGAGAATGAGAAGCTGAGGCAAGGTGGAGGATCAGATAGCTGGCAGAGAGGAGCTTCTGGAACCGAGAAGCCTGGTGTCAGAAGGATCCTATCTGAGAGCGCTGGAATTTCCAAGAATGAAGGAATTCTGGTGTTGTAGAGAGTGGCAATGAGTCAGATGCTAAAATCACCAAGAAGCAAAAGGAATTATCCTGGTGGTTAGCGGTAAAGTAGAGAGTGATATAATTTGTAGACTTTAGACCCAGACCTAGCATATCTGTTGGCTTAATTTCTTACCATTCTTCTCCATACAAACTCCTACTATTAAAAAAATAAATAAACATCTTTTGAGAGTTTACTGTGTACCACTACCGGGGAAAGTACTTTACAGGAATTAACTCAATTTTCATAACAATCCCAGGCAACATGGATTATGGTCGTCTTGGTTTCACTCTAAGGAAAGTGAAGAAAGAAGTTAGGTAACTTCCCAGTATCACACAATTGGTAAGTAGGCAAGTGAGAGTACAAATCCAGGTATGGGCTCCACTGAGACTTCTACTCTAGTAACTACACATCAGTGTTTTTTTTCAACCAAGACTAAGCCCTTGGCAAGCAGTGCCCACAGAGCAAGTCTGAGGCTCGATAGAATGTGCCAAGTTGAAGTTGATGTCCTCTGGGGCAGTGGTACCCAAATCAGGGTCCATGGACCAGCATCACTAGGAGTTCATTAGAAATGCAAATTCTCACACTCTACACCAGACCCCAAGAATTAGATTCTCATACATGGGACTCAGGAATCTGTTTTAACAAAGCCCTCCAGGTGATTTTTATGCATTCTAAAACTGGAGAAGCCCCATGAGAATCTTTTCCAGTCCAATATCTTGAGTATGGATATGAAATATAATCTTCATTTTAAAAAATTTAATGTTTTTATTTATTTCTGAGAGAGAGGAAGACAACGTGAGCAGGGGAGGGTCAGAGAGAGAGGGAGATACAGAATCTGAACAGGCTCCAGCCTCTGAGCTAGCTGTCAGCACAGAGCCCAACGCAGGGCTCGAACCCATGAACTGTGAGATCATGACCTGAGCCGGAGTCGGATGCTCAACCGACTGAGTCACCCAGGCGTCCCATGAAGTATAATCTTAAATGCAAAGAATTGTAACATGACTTTCTTTGTCATTTTAACTATCTTAGGATCTAATCTGATCCACATTTTTTTTTCTTTTACAAATGAAACCTTTCTTCCTTCTGTACAGTTAGACTTCTCATCCACCTTGTGCTATTGATAAGGACTGAATATAGAAAAGAAGATAGTGTGTAAGGCAAGTGATGGGCTCAATCTTAGACCTGTTAAATGGGAGACACATTTAGAGCTCCAGGGTCATTACTTAGCAATCAGCTGGCTAGAGGGGACCCCAAGTTGGGAGTATAGTTTTCTCTGGGGAGACAGACTTGGGAACCATCAGCCCACACTTACTGAGGCTGTGATTGTAGATATGATCATCTATGAAGAAACTGGAGAGCAAGAAGAGAAAAAAGATGAAAGACAGTCAAGAAGGGAACAGAAATATTTGAGAGGTGGGCCAAGAGGAAGGAGACTGTGAACATCAAAGAGAAATGATATCAGCTATAGGAGAAAGAACAGAGTGCTGTTCTAGGGTGCCAGAGAGTTTCAGTGAAGAAGGGTTAAATCACAGTATAGAGAATCACAGAAAGATCAAGTGGGATGAAAGCCAAAAATAGCAATTCAAAGGTTACTGTTGGTAAATTTGACAGAAATTGAGGGCAGCAATCCCTGTGAGAAGCTGAGAAGTTAGTGAGAGATGAGACTCTGGAGACACATCACCAGCAGTGTCTCAGGGACTTTGGTGATGAGGGGAAGAAGGTGGGTAGAGTGTTCTTTTGAGAAGTCGGATGAAGAGAAAGATATTTTTTAATTTAAAAAAACCTTTAAAATGGTTGTAGGTTGAACAAAAGACAGAGGAGAGGGATAAATTAAAGGCATAAAACCAGAAGGCATGTGATTAGGTGAAATTTTATGAGATTTTTGACATTTTTAGCTTTTTTTTTTTTTTTTTTTTGGTGCTAGACCATAAGAAATGTTTGACAGATATGTTTACTGAATGAATGAAAAAATTATTGGGATGCAGCACCTCTCAGACTGAAGAGGGACAGCCCTCCATTGAGAAAGTTTCAAGTTCCCTTCAAGATCTATTCACATCTCACGCCATTGCCCACCACTTCCCTCTTACTACCCCAGGTAGTAACTCCTCACCATTCCCCAAACATGTCACGCCCTCCCTGTCCCTTTGCACAATGACTTGATGGTTTTGCATCAGGTTTACCTCGGTCTGAAGTACCCTTTCACCTACTCATCCTTCAAGAGCCCTCTCTAATATCAGCTTCACCATGAGGCCTCTTTTCTCTAAGCCAGAATTCATCGCCGTTCCTAAGGGCCATTACTGCCTTGTGTTCTTAGATCTATTGGATACTTCACAAATTCTCTGCCATCACATTGTGTACCTGTCTGAAGTTCCCTCACTAGACTGGACACAAGCTTTGGACCTGCCTATTACCAACTCCTTGGGTAGTGCTAGTCACATAGTGGGCATCAAAGACCGATGACTGAATGCATGAGCAAAAGAATGTTGAATATTAGTTTTTCAAAATACATGTGTTTTTCAATGAAGCCCAGTAAAAATCAACCCATTGGTTCATGTCAGGAAGTAAAGAGGCACTTTTGAAGACATTGAAACATTAAAGCCCAGAGCAAACAGAATTATGGTCACTCTGTTAAAGTTATAAAAGGTTTTGATTGGCCCTGCTTAACATGAGCCCACTGACAGAGCAAAGCCACAGTCCTACAACTTCAAAAGCAGAAATGCGTGGCTTGGGTAATACACAGATAGAACAGTTGGAAGTTTTATAAATGTATTTACTAACCAAAAGAGCCTTCAAGGATGCTGGGCTTCTCCTCAGTTCTAGAAAATGACATTAGGCAGCTATGGTAAGTTCCATTGAACAATGGAACTCTCCAGTGGTTGGTTTATGAAAAGTCAGGCAAGGGAAATCTGGCCAATGAGGCATAAGAGAAGTGTCTTGGAAGAGTTTTTCTCATGGAAGAGTTCTTCTCATTCTTTTTCATTGTTCTTAGTATAGAACGCTTCACAAATCTGCATGTCATCCTCACTCAGGGTCCATGCTAATCTCTGTATTGTTCCAGTTTTAATACGTGTGCTGCCGAAGAGAGCATTCATTTTTCTCTTTCTTAACAAAGGTCCCTGAAAGGGGCTTCTTTTCCTATATCCTTAGACATGTGTCAAGCTGTGATGCCTGGAGCTATTGTAGCCATATTGTGACCAGGAGGTGACAAGCCTGAGGAGAATAGCCAATGTAGTGAAAATGACAGAAGAGAAAGGTAGAAAGATCAGGATCCTTGGTGACAACGAGCCACTGAATTAACCCACCCTACTATGGCCTTATCTCTAGACTTCTTACTTCTTTTTTTTATATAAGACAACAAATAAAGTTCCTACCCTTACTTAAGCCAGTTGAATTTTATCATCAACAACTTTCAGCCGAATGCATCCTGAGAGATGCACTTGATTACTAGGTTTAAAGACCAGCTTTTCTAACAATACAGGCTACTTTAACCTCATACTTTACTGTGATGCTCAGGCTGCTGTTAAAATACATTGTAAATCTGCTACCAATTTTTTAAAAATGAAAATGCCCAGACAAATAAGCAATCATACCAAGTGCAGACTTCTTTATATAACATAGGTTTATTCTTTAAAAATAAGCTCACTTGAATATTTGATTCCATTAATATTACCTCTCCAAAATGTCCACCAGCTTTTACAGCTCCCAGATTCCAGACTGTACTTATTCCCATGATTGATGGAAGAGGATTTCCTAGCACTCTAGCTTTGTGCAGGAAATGAGCTGAAGACATTTCTACATCAACTCTCGTTCTGAAATATGTTTCAGGAAGAATGTGGCAAGTTTCTTGGATTATTCTGATTTGCATAGATTGAAGACCAATTTTAGAAGAGCGCATTTAATAATCCAAACGTATTTATGACCTCAAGAATAACAGCAATGAGAATAATGATTTAAATTTTAGTGAACATGCACTGAAATCTTGTAATGTGCAGAGGTTTCCAGGGCGGTAGTATAATGTAATGATTAAGAATAAGGGCTTTGGTTGCAAGCAGATGTGGATTGTGGCCTTGAAAGGTATTTGGCATTTTCTTGGGAGGAAAACCAAAATAGGAGTACATGTTCCTATTCTCATTTCCAAGGGTCAATGTCAGAGTCCTCAGGAAAGTGAGTAGCTAGGGCTTCCTTTGCTTTTGCCCTGAGTTTCTATGTGAAGGACCCTCTGTTAGTGAAAAGCTCCTGGTCCTACACCCTATTTCTCTCTAGGTGAGGGATTTACACGAATTTGAGAGATAAAGTAGGTCATGGGTGACTCAGCCTCTTCCATCTTTCTTCTGGTTGGAGATCTGCCCCCCCAAGTTTAATGGGGCTCGTCGCAAACTAGCAGGACCTGTCATGGTGGATAAGTCTATATGATTCAGCCTAGCTTGTGTTAGTAATCAAGCTGACATCTTAATATTCCCATATCTGACGTCTGGGTCGCTCTTGAAAGCCGATCTGAACTCCTAGGAGCAGGGAGCCGCGATCCCAGAGGCTCAGGGAGACACCATTTGGCTCTGCTGCTTTGTCGCACACTGCACGGTGGAGGGAGGGGCATAAACCTTTCCGTGCACAAAATCCCTTGTTCCAGTCTCTTTTCGTGAAAAGTTCTCCTATGTACTGACACCTAGAAGCCCTGCTTTTCTGTTCATTAGACAGGATCAGAAAACAGGAATGGCCAGCCTCTTCAAATGCCTACCAGGTAGGGAGCTTGGGACTGTTTCAAATGGAGTGACATTGACATGTGAAAGCCAGGCTGAGTTCTCCGGAGTCCTCAAGGTACCAAGAGCAGCAGGTTCTGCTAGTTTCCTTAAAACTGCACAGGCGTAGGGGTTGTTTCATGGAGCCTTCCACAAGTGGCAATATCGGAACCCTGATTCGGTGACTGTCACGGCAGGGACATTCACAAGCAGGAAAAAAAGGAAAATATATAAAAGGACTATTGATGAACACATATGAAACACTTGTCATATCCTCAAAGACTAGGGGCAGAAATCTCAGGAGGTGAGTTTATGTGCTCTGCAGGGTGAGAGCTAGAATCGGTGCACGTTAGGTTATTGTTAGTGTGAGCCCAGTTTGATTCATGGGGTGGTGAGGATAGAGGAAAAATGGATTGTGGTGAAAATTGTTCAGGCTGCAGTTTTGATGTCCTAATTCTGTGTGTGCATTCGATCTGGGGGCCTTATTATGAGTTTTTGTGCTGAGATTTGAACATAACTTTGACTTTCTTCCTGTTACATAGCATACTTTAAATGATGACACTAGAGAGGCGCCTGAGTGGCTCAGTCGGTTAAGCATCCAACTTCGGCTCAGGTCATGTTCTCACCACTCGTGGGCTCAAGCCCCGTGTTGGGCTCTGTGCTGACAGCTCAGATCCAGGAGCCTGTTTCAGATTCTGTGTCTCCCTCTCTCTCTGCCCCTCCCCTGCTCACGCTCTGTCTTTCTCTGTCTCAAAAATAAATAAACATTAAAAAAATAAAAAATAAATAGATGATAGCACTAAAGCATCAGGGACTGTGCCACTGGCCTGCAGCCGAGTCTTGTCGAAGGAATCGTTTGGATCCTGGACCTTGAGAACGGTTCTTACCCAGTCCCTGGGGCTCAGGCTGCCATGCTTTCTGTACAGGAAGCCAGGTTTCCCATCTGGTGCAAGCATACATGTCATCGTATCTGCCAATACAGGTGTCATTATACCTGCCATCGTGCACCACCATCAGCCGAGGGAGGGCGATTATAAGCTAAGATCCAAGAGGCTTACAGTCAGGAGGAGGCAGATGCGCATGAACCAGTATATCCAGTAGTGCTGTAGGTGTGTACGGGGTACAAACAGGTGGTCAGGGATGGTAAAGATGTGTCTCAGAAAAGAGAATGAGTCTATGGTCCCAGCATAACTGATAACTGTACGCCTGCTCACTTTCAAAACTGTATGTATTTGGATGATCAACGGTACGGCAACTCTCATCTAGGAAAGGGTGATACATTCCTCCTGAAACCTGGAGAAAAAACCCATCAGCGGCATCGTAGGGGTGAAGCTTATTAGTGTAAAAGAAACTATTTGTGAGTTACCTGCAGTCTGGGCGTGTGTCTTACCTACTGTGCCAGCCATTGATGGGTGTGTGTGTGTGTGTATGTATGTGTGTTTGTGTGTGTGCGTGCGTGCGCATGTGTGTGATGGAGAGACAGCATGAGAATTCAATGACTATGCAAACTGAACAAAGGCCATCAATGAACTAAATTACTAAAATAACTAAAATTGTTACATAACTAAAGTAATTTTCTTTTTTAAAAACCATTCTGAATGGCGACAGGCTTTGTCAGGAGATTTCAGTTACACTAAGAGGAAAAAAAAAGCGATTTTACAAATAACCTTGAAAGACAATTGGTCTTAAAAAAACGCCCTTGGGTCCTCACTGTTCTCATTCACTACAGGATAATGACGTGAGGATTCATTTGATGAAAACCTGCAAGAAGCTTCTGGGAAAAAGACATGGCGTAAGCACAAAGTGGCGGTGCTCTGACCCCAATACGGGAGGAACCTGAGGAAGGAAGTGCAAGATGTATTTGCAGATTGTAGGTGGGTTGGTAGATGAGGCTTCTGAGCAAAAGAAGCAGCCATGTTTGTAGCTTTCTGTGAGCTGATCTCTACTAATAAAAAACCCCACACATTTTAGGTTTTTAAGTTATAGTCAATTCAGGCTCAGAGAGAAAGAGTTTGGTAACATGGATGCTGTCCCCTTTCCTGAAGCATCTACCGAGAGATGTTGATCTTCTGCATAGGACAGGCCTTGGGCCCACAGAGCAGGTGGATCATTTATTTTGTGTGGTGTTTGCAACCCCTGAAGACTGCTAAGTCTTTCAAGGAAGTCTTTCATTAGAAAAGAATTTCACACTTACAGGAACAGGTGATTGAACTAAAATACAAATAGCTAGTAGATGAGCTAGCGTTTTAACTCACAGGATCTCAAATGATTGTAAAATGAGTGCACCCAACTTTAAAGTGAATAGTTTTTAATTAGTTTGAAGCAGGAGAATGCAAAGGTACTGAAAACATCTATGAAAGAGGAGGTTGAGGAAAGGCAGTAGGTGCTTTACTCTACAATTCTGCTAAGAACTAGCTCTGTTTGTTGTTTTTCCAAAGTATTGCCTCCAACTATTCCGGAAAAGATAATGTGGCAAATGCAGACAGTCATTCGTATCGTTGTGTTTTATTGAGCAGAAGTATTTCTAACTAAAGTATTAATGGTTTACGAAAGCATTGCATCTTAAACTTTAAGAGGGGAGCTGGGTGTACGTGTCTTGCATGAACTGCTATATATGATGTTTCTTTATTTGCTCTAAGGGGCTTCACTTCCACTCAGTCTTAAATTACTACCAAGTCACAAGGATACTGACTATTTCCCTTTCTTTTTTCTTAAAGTTTATGTATTTATTATGAGAGAGAGACCATGCATGGGAAGGGGAGGGGCAGAGAGAGAGGGGGAGAGAGAGAGAATCCCAAGCAGGCTCCATGCTGTCAGCACAGAGCCTAACCTGGGGCTCTATCTCACGAATTGTGAGATCATGACCTGAGCTGAAATCAAGAGTCAGTTGCTCAACCAACTGAGCCACCCAGGTGCCCCTCTATTTCTTTTGAGTGTGTAATTCTTTTTGACAAAAAGAAATATATGATTCCAAATTCTCTATGAAAGAGCATTATCGATTTAGAAAAATAGTAGAACATTTAAAAAATTAAAATCCAAATTTTGTTGAAAGGATGTCTAACTTTATTAAGATGCGTGTTTCATTTTTTAGAAAGAAACTATGACTAATAAAATATAAATGGATTTTTCTCTAGGGAGGCAGTTGAAAATTCTAAAAATTTATTTCTGCCATTAATTTCTTACCTCAAATTATTATTACACACTTGACTATGGAGGCTTTGCATTTTGATCAATGAGGATTTACTTTTCTTTAGAGAATAGCTTAGACACTTTACTACCCTAATAACCTCCTCGTGACATTCTCTTACACAAAATATTGTAGATAAAAAGAGCTGCAACTGACTGGGGCCTA